GTGATCGATTCCTCTGAGAGTCTTTCTTCAGCGTACAATCTCCACTGCCCTCGATGCGGGTCGGAGGGATGAGCCGCGGTGCCCAGCCGAGCTGCAGCTGGACTCTCAGACGGTGCGTGTTGGACACTCCGGGGTGCAGGTGCTCCGCCGCCTCCAGCGCACGGCTAATAACTTCCAGGTGGGATTTGAAGGAACTGGCACTGCCCCATCACATTCCTCTACGGCTTCAGTCCTGGCAACTCCAGCAGCTTCCCCTCTCCCTGCATGATGTTAATACAGCTGCGCTCACGGCCCCGGCGATGCTGGAACACCCTCAATAAACAGGGGAAAGCTGCCAGGCTCTGCTCTCCGAAGGGTTCACGACTCCACTGCAGCTCCGGCTCCGCCCGCCAGCGCCGGGCTTTGTTAACCTTCCTGGCAGCCTGCTCTGCTCTGCGGCTCCCGGGACGCTGCCGGAGCCTGGCCACGAAGGGGAAGAGTTTGAAGAAGGCTTATGCTGCCAGAGGAGGAATTCTCCAGGGTGGCCTTGTCCTGGTTGGTATTAGCTCGCTTTGCTTCCATTTTGCTCTATGGGTTCTTGAGAGCAATGATAGAAGAGCATACATTGAATCAAGACAATTGAGATAGAATGGTGACATTTTTCTCCAGAATTTTTGTCTTCATCTAAGCAGGATTACAAATGGTAGGGTAAGGTTCCAATATCTGTTAACAGACATTTCCTTGAAAACGTGCTGTAACAGCAAAAGTCATGTAACACCACCTGTGAGAGAGACTTGTGACATTGGTTTTGATCCCTTGAAAGAATGGGAATTGGGTTGCTTTCCAAAGGAAGCCACTGAATGGACCATGTCATGGTTGTTTACTATTAGGGATGCATGTTGTGGTGTGGTTACCACGAGGTGGCACATGTCAACACCTAATGGCTCCAAAAATGGCCCTGCCAGACCTGGAGGGTCATCCCCAGCATGGCAGGGTGTGCTGCAATAGTGTCCTCCCTTGTTCCAACCCTTCTCAGCTGTCCTCCCTCTGTGCTCTTTACATGCTGTGAAAATGGGGCCCTGCTGTCCCCTGATGTGCTCTTCTCACAGCGTGTGCTCCACTGCTGAAGCCACAGCTCCGGGTTTCAGTGGGCACTGGGAGCAGACACTGTGCCTGCAGAACATCTCCCTGCGGAGCAGCTGCTCCAGCTCCCACTGGACTGCCATGGTTGTGCTTCACAGAAACAGAAAACTCCTGGAAGCATCTCTGGGACCTCATTTATTTGTGGTTGTCTCCAGCATCTCTCACTCAGCATCAGAAACTGGAGGCTGAAGGTGCTGCTCCTATGCCTCAGCCAAAGCCAGAGAGAAATGTCAGCTGCTGTGTGATGACTAAGTCTCACATGCTTATTGCTCCTATCAGTTAGAGCTCTTAATCACTTTGTGCTGTTTCATCCTATAACATGAATTCACTTCAAGCTGTGAAATTCACCATTTTTGCCATGACTAATTTGTGAAATCTGCCACCTTCCTTTGTGGTTCCGTTGTGCCCTAGTCAGGCATCATCTGTCTGATTAGGGAAATCTGTGATTTGTTTCTTGCAGTTGAGCCAATACAATTTCATTCCCCTCCTTCCTCCTCTTTGCACTCGACTGTGATTTCACTGTCGCTTTTGCCTTTGGATGTGCCGGGGCTGGAGGGCTGTGGAGCCATCTTTGCTGGGGCTTGCACAGCAAGTCCTGGCTTTCCTCCTCTGTACCACCTGTGCACAGGGCTCAACCTGACTCAAGCCGAGGCTTTAACCCTGGCTTTGGTTAAAGCTGCTTAGGTCTATTATATTATGTTTACCATCTTACTACATTTCTCCCAGCCTGGTTGCTGCAATATTTTGGAAATCATTTCCCACCTGCCTTGCCAGTGCCTTGTTTCACATACATTCATCTGTTACTCTTTATACTGAACATTGCTGGCATTACTAAATGCTATAAATATACCCAGTATACCATAAAAATACACAAGCAGATGACTGGTCTTGCCTACAAGAAATACTATGAATTTTTCATTTTTTCACATGCTCTGGGCAAAATCCAGAGGGTGCTCAAGGAACATCTCATAACTGAGTTGGGTCCTAAATTCCTATTTTCTCACTGATTAGTTAATGTCTAAAAATATTTTCCCACACTCTTAATGTCTTAATTGTTCCTTGAAGACATTGCAAGCTCACCCATCCTTTTTTTACACCGTCTTACAAACCCAGTGAAATATTATTTTAGTATTTCTGTCACTGAAATACAGTGATAAATGGTCTTCTTTTAAGATCAGTGGGAACAGAATAATGGATGTGCAGGAGAGCTTATTGACTTGCTTTTGCCAAAACAGAGTCCTGCCATGAAGTTTAGAAGGATCACAAGATGCCCTGGATACTTCTCATGCTTTTCTTTGTTTAATGGTAAAGCTTATAGGTTTGGGCTACACAGTTTTACAAGATAAAGATAGAAAAGCAAAGGAAACCTTCCCTCCTAGCTCTACTTATTCTCACCATAACTTTCCTTCCCATCTCTCTGTTTCTGTATTCTACCTTTTTTTACCAGTTTCACTCAAAATTAATCACCTCCCTGTCTGAAAAACAGTCATGGAAATAAGATTCAGTAGCATGATTTCTCTCAACAGATAAATAAATGGGCAAATCTCCAAGAATCCCTGGCTATAATTAACCCTGTATCAAAATCCCAGAAGAGGAAGTTCAGGAACATCCCAAGAGCCTGTTCATTACTTTATCTGGCTATCAGAAAACCTATGGGCCTGATGATGCTTCTGCCCAAACAGTGCCCAAATCTCTCTGAATGACCCTGAGAGCAGGATTAGGGCTGGTGCTCAGCACCCCATGCCCTCCTCTGTATTTGCTGCTTCCAGCACAGCAATCTTGCAGCCACACCAGCCCGAGCTATTTACTCACCACCACTGTGGACTAATCAGATGGCAATAAAAGCTTTTACTGTGCCATCCGGTTTGTGATCAGCAGAAACATAAAAAGCATGAGAGAAAATTGATTTTTGGCATTAATTGTGAGCAAAGAACATTATACTGAGTACAGAGAGGGTGGGTTTTTTCAGGCAGAAAGATTCTATTTTAGTCTTTGAAAAGTGATTCCGGAAGATGCTGAGCTAAGCCCAATGGACATACTTTTCAAATACCATAAGGCAAAGAGTAGTTACTGAATCTCCTCAGTCTTATTAGCTTACATAAACATAAAAATTTGAATAATGTTTAAAAAGCTAAATTCTCCAGATAATCAGTAAGTGTTTATTACTGAGATGTAGCAAATATGCATGAGATTTCCCCGGTGACATTTTGGTTGCACGACTTAAAAGGTGTAGAAAAGCCTTCTCCACGTGGGGCCAGGCAGAAACTTCTGCAGGCTCCCGAGGTCACTCAGCCACAGCGTGGACCTTCCTGGTCCCCTTCAGGAAGGAGCAGGAGGAAATCAGAATTCACTGACTTGTGCTACAGCTCTGGTGATTTATAAATAAATCATCCCCACACAATGATTGATGTCTCCATATAAATAATTAAGTCTTGACCTTATGTTATGACACCTGCTAAATTTTTTGGCACTTGAAAACAGTGCTCAGGAGAGATCCTTGACTCTGGATAAATAAAGGTGGGACTGAGTTTGAGGGGAAGGGGGAGCCAGGTTTTTGTTTACCCTCATTTTGTTCTGTTTGATTCCATCAGCTAATTGATGATGATTATTAATCTCCGTTGCCATCTACCCTATGGATTTAATTCCTGCCTGTGATTGCTGTTGGAAAGTTTGCTCCATTAGAAGCAGACTTGGATTGGATTTCCAGTCACCAGAGTTTCCCAGAGCTCCCCCAAATCACTGTGTGACCTAGTCCAGGCACTTTACACTTTTTTTTTTTGGCTCTTTACTTTGTTTGGTGGCAGGTCTCCAGTAGCCAGGCTGACACTGTCATTCTGCTCAACCAGGCTAGGTAGCAGGTGTCAGCAAAAGTTTAATTTGGAAGCTCATGAATTCAAAAGAAGAGCTTAACAGTTATCCCCAACACAGAGAGCTGCTGTGGCCTGAGCCTGGAAAAGAGAAAATCCCAGGGACATGAAAGGAATTGATGAGACACCAGGCATCTGACAAAATGAAATCTTCTCGGGATAAACTGGGGATATCTCCCCCCCTCAAATAGTGAGCATCGTTAATAAACAAAACGGATTTAGCAGTGGCATTTTCACTTCTGAGACTGTTCAGGTTTGCCATTCACCTTCCCTCACTGCTATTCAGCCTATTCTCTGAAGAGCTGCAACTTTTAAATCTTGCAGTAAAATACAAGCATTTCAGGGTAAGCATCTAACATAAAAAAAAAAAAAAAAGAGCATCTTTAGGTTTTTTTAAGCATGTTAATTTGCACGCAACACAAGTCAGCTATAGACAGAAAACAACATTATTACACAATTACAATAAGGGCTTTCCTAACTCCTCAAAAAGCTTAAAAAAATAATCACACAGCTACGACCGGGTATCACATCATTTCTGGCTACTTCCACAGCCAACGCCGGGGAATCCCAGGTGTCAGCCAGGTGCCTGGGCTGTCCGGTTGCCCATCTCTAGCACACTGGGGCTAACACACTTGGACAAATTATCCTCTGCCGTGTGTTTGCCGTGGTTTGAATCTGCCCGTTCTGGAGCGCTGGGTGAGGTGTAAAGTGGCTTTTCAAGGTCCGGGCTGCCCGGGTCGCCCAGCAGGGGCGGGGGGATCGGGACGTGCCGAGAAGTGCTCCTCCGGGAGATCAGCGCCCAGAGCAAACCCCTGTCCTCTACACAGAACTCCAGAAATGAAAAAGTGCCCTCCTGTCCCCTCGCACCGCTCCTGCTCGCGTAGGCTGAACTCCGGGAGAACTGGGTTTCCAGCCTAGGGAGATGCCTGCATTTATCAACTAGTTTGCTTTGAATCCCGTTATTTTCGCTACACAAACCCGCGCCGGACTCGCACCCGCGAGCAGGCACAGCCCGGCGGAGCCGCCGGCTCCATCCTCACCTGGAGTTGTGTCCCGGTGCCCGAGCGGGGCTGGGCCGGCCCCGCCCGGCTGCGGGGGCAGCGGAGCGGGATGGGGCGGAGGGGCCGCGCCGCAGCCCCGGGGCGACCCCCGCCCCTCCACCCCCAATTCCCGGCCCCGGGAATTACGGCGCCGCGAGGGCAGCCCTGAGGTGAGGGGATCGCGCCGCCGGGAAAGGGGGGGACACGGGACGGGGGTCCCCATGGCAAGTTTGGGCACTTTCCCGAAGTGGTGCGGGGAAAAGTTGGGGAGCGGCCGGGGGTGCGGGGGGCCGGGGTGCGCAGCGCGGCCCGGGGACGGGGGGTGAGGGTCTTACCACTGACCTGCCGCGGCCGCGCCGCCTCCCGCGCCCGCTCAGCGCATCCTCCGCGCCGCTCCCGCCGCCGCCCTGCGCGCCGCAGCCGCGGCTCCGCGCCCGCGATGCTCGGCGGGGAGGAGAGAGTGAAGCGGGACAGCCCGCCCGGAGACGGGAGGCCGCCGCCCCCTCCCCGCCCCCCGATCCCCGCTCCGCGCTCCGCTCGGCCCCCGCCCCGCGCACCTCCGGCAGCAGGTACGGCCTCCGCCGGGAGCGGCCCCGGCCCGGCCGCGCCCCCGCGCATCGTCCTCCGCCGCGGGCGGGGCCGCCGCCTTGCCGGGGAGCCGCTCGCCTTGCCGGGGAGCCGCTCGCCTTGCCGGGGAGCCGCTCGCCTTGCCGGGGAGCCGCTCGCCTTGCCGGGGAGCCGCTCGCCTTGCCGGGGAGCCTCTCGCCTCTGGAGCCCGACGCGTCCCCGCGGCTCGGGCTGCGCCGGGCGGTGTGTGAAGGGCAGCGCCGTGTCTGCCGGCGCGGGTGTGACCGCCCTGCGCGCACCCGGCTCCTGCATCCCGAGCCTCCGCCCGCGCGGCTCCCACAGGGACAGCGCAGCCCCCGAGCGGGAAGTTACGGGGAGCGAGGAAAGGTCCCGGGCATGGTGCTGGGAGAGCCTCTGCGCCCCTGCTGCCGGGTGTCGTCTGCGAGGAACGGGGCAGGGAGGCTTTTCCGTATCCTCAGTGTGGATACGAGCATCCTGCCGGGCGTCTCCTGCGGGCTGCAATTTGACATCGTTATTGAAAATATATGTGTTTTGAGACTAGTTGGGAAGATCCGTGGCCCACACTTGCTCCCAAAAGGAGGCGACTGCGAACACACGCCCCAAGGGCAGACACGGTAGAATTAATTGGAAGAGAATTGAAGTGGTGGTGCCCTCAAACAACAAATCGGAGCAGACTCACTGTAGCCAGGGCATGGTGGGCACCAAGGTGCCCTGTCTCGAGCCTGGATATGGACTGTGGAGCAACTGCACAGAAGGGACCTCTTGCACTCTCTGCTGGCTATTTCCCACCCTAAAATACTGGGAGGTTTTTCGAGCGCGTCTGTGCAGCAGAATAAAGAGTCTAATAAGAGCGAAAGCAGAGTATGGCTGTGGTCTCCAAGAGTGGCCTCGGTGGCATGCCTGGCTATTGCTACTGTAATTAAATGGCTACTGGCTGAAATTAAGCAACTCCAATATTATATTAAATAGTGCCCCCAGAGCCTGGGCATCGAGGGGGTGCCCTGCACCCGCTCCTCAGCTTTGGGAGTGCGGGTCTCAGGAGCTGCCCTTGCTGCCAGGGAGCCACGGGAGCAGGGTTTGCCAACAAACAAAGCCAGATGTGTTGTGTTGAGTCCCCACCACCAGCCTCAGCCAGACACTCTGTGTGTACAGTGTTAAATGTGTGTCAAGATGGAGCCTATGCACAGCCCTCAGAATAGTTTCAGGTGTGTTTTATAAATAAACAATGACATTTATCCTGTGACTACATTAGCAGAAATACATTATACTTAGTGTGCTCCCCATCAATCAATTGTTCTGACTAAGTAGGTGTTATTTATTAAAGTATTGATTAGGGACCCAGTTCTGTAGTCCTCAAGCAAGCCAGTTCTTTGCTGATAGGATGAAATATTTGATTGAGAGTTTCGAGGCCAGACTTTATGTAATTCTATTGTCATAGGAAAGAAAGGTGCATGTGATACGGCTTTCCAGGGGAAGATGCATTCATGCCACTTGGAGTTCAAAGGAAGAATAACACGTGAAAACTGCAATCATTGCTTTACCTGAGCACCTTCTGTCCTACTCTCTGTGGCGCAGGGCGCATAAGCTGTCACAGCAAAAATAATAAGCCTAACTGGGGAAAGTGAGTTGCATACAATAAATGTAATACATTCCTCGACGTCTGTTGCTATGGCAGGTGACCGGGGAGAACACTGTCCTCCAAGGGCCAACTCCTGCTCGTGTGGCACAGGGAACCTTCCCTGCTACACCCCTGCTGGACACCTCCGTGAGCAGGCTGAGCAGAATGTGGCTCTGTATTCTTTATTCAGGTTGTGTTATGAAAAATTGCTTTAAATGAATGACCTTGAAAACAAAGCTCCAAACAAGAGTCTTGGCACTAGGTCAGTGACAGCGAGTTCTCTGCCCCGCTGCCTGCAAGACTCACAATTACCTTCTTCTTCAGTTTTAACTCCATTACTTGCAAAAAATTCCCAAGAATTTGAAAAATAAGGTATCTCAAACCAACGATTCCTGGGGGTTATTTTTGTCTTTGGGAGGATTGATTTTTATTTTTTTCCCTCTCTGTCTCCAGTGGAACAGAAGGCAACGTGAATCCCTTTTGTTTACTTCTTTGTTTCTGCTCCTGACTGCTTAATAATATAAGCAGATGTGTATGGCTCTGCTGTAGTCTGGGGCCAGTTAGTGGCTATTACAAAGTTGGGAGGAAGAGCAACAATCACAAAACCTTGGTTTTGAGAGGGTAGAATGAACAAAGAGAACATAACAGAAAAAAAAAAGAAAATATGTAAGAAAAGAATATACTTAATAAATGCATATGCTAGAACAATGAAAGATTTTTATTCAGGTATTTCTAGGAAATGAGATTTCTAATTATTTTGATATTAAAACACGTTACAGTAAATTCAATATTTATTGAAGGGAATCTTTTTTTTATTAGTTGCACAGACTCATACACTCAGGGTGCAAACAAACATCCCAGCATATAATCTAGTATTGTTGTGATCTAGCAGTACTAGTACTGTGCTTATAATCAGGATTTCTGGTTATTATACACTGCAGACTGTCACTTAAGAGTCCTATATAGATTCTAATTTCTTTTAAAACTGGAAGGAATTGTTTACCTTTGCTTAGTCAATCAGCAAATGCAACTTATATTTTCAGAATGTTTGCTATGGAAAGCTGGAAAACAGTTGGGGGTGAGTGAAATTAATTGTAAAGTTGTTTTTGATGCTTAGATACATTTGGTCATTTGGAGACTGATATTTATAGCAATACTGTCTGAATGCTTTAGTAAAAAGATTATTTCCCCCAATCTGACAATTATTTGGGGGAAAAAAGTAATTTTTTAATATTATATATCATAGGAAAGTTCATCTTATACTGAGTCTTTCTTCATCTCTCAGAAAACAGCACAGAGAAAAATGAAGAGAACATATGGTGTCTTCTATCAGTCAGTCATCATTACTGCTTCTTCACACTATGTCATCACCCCACAAATAGCAAATGAGTGTGAATTTCGCCCTGCTGAAAGAGAAAAGAAAAAACTGGTTAGTGCAGCCAGCCAAGTAAAAAAAAAATTAATAAATATTACAATAGCATCAACTGGAAGATCATATAAAATATTAAAGACAATGAGAATGCAGAGGGAAAACCCCCTAAACTGTCAAACAATAGTATCAAACCTGAAAATGTTGAGCTGGAGCAGAACTCATGAATTTCTCTTGATTTGATAACCAAGCTTGAAATATTGATGGGACACAGTCTCTCCTGCCCATTCTTTATGAATGATTCTGTGCTATTTGTGGTACTCAAACAGACAGAACTCAAATAAGAACTGTGAGGAATATAATGTAATAGTTTGTCTCTGGGGCTTCCATAAAATCCTGAATTTCCTTTTAAAGCAGACATCTAGGAAAAATATAATTTCATTTAATTCCCTGATATTCCTATTACACTTCTAGTGTAAAGGTTGCAATTCAAATCCTTATCTGCAAAGCCCCTCTGCCATTCTTAGTCTCTTGAAAAGAAATATATGACAAAGCAACCTTGGAAACAGCTGTCGTAGGAACTTAATAAACCCCAACACTTGAAACATCCATCCCAGCTTTGGAAGGGATAATTCAAAACCACCCTCCTATAGGAGCAGCAAAAGCAGTTGAGATTTATGGGGAAAAAAGTATATATATGTGTGTGTGTGTTTATCTGTAATATTATATATTTCTGGAAATCCGGCAAATTTTCAGACCGGAAAAACCAAAGTATTCATTTTTTCTTCTACCTCTTCCCCTTCCCCCAGTGTTATTGCAATACTGCACAGACCCAAAGGCAGCTCCAAGTGGCACATCCAGAATGGTGCAACAAAGCAACAAATTAAGAGCCTTGTTGGAAACTCCAAAGCAAATCTGGGCCAGATTGTCTCCCAGATCTCTAATCCTTCATTCCCTTTGGATCCTTCCCTCAAAAGCAGCTCATAACAGGATGCTAATGCACCTGGAATTGAGCCCCATACACAAGCTACAAGGGGACCAAGCTCATCTGCAAGCTCCTCAAATGTTGGTGCCCAGCTGAAATAGGTGCTTCATAAAACCATGGTTCAAACTATTGCCTGTGCAGACTCTTGAGCTAGACATAAATTTCTTCTATGACCAGCCCCAGGATCTGATTATATCACTGATGGTGCCTTAGAGTAGCCAGGCCTGACTGGGGGAACACAGCTTTTCTCTAAAGACCATTTTCTTAAAACTGCTTGCACACAAACAGCCAGTGAGGATGAGCTTGGCAGGCTGGGACATGGGACAGTGGCAGGTAGGGCTGTGGAAGAGGGAAAAGAACAAAGTAGTGCAAGGTATAGAAGGTAATGGTAGGTAGGTAATGCTAGGGATAGAAGAAAGTGGAATAAAAGTGCATTTTCTGGGACTTAACCAAAATAAAAAAAAAAATGAAATAATTCCATGCACTCTGGCCCTGGAGCAATGCTTCTCCACGGCTATATCTGGCAAGGTTTCTATGGAGAGGCAATGTCTTTATCAGACCAAGAAATATCAGTGGGACAAATTGTAGGGTACGAAACCATTCTTTGGGA